ACACACACACACACACACACACACACACACACACACACACACACACACACACACACACACACATACCTACATACAAACATACATTCATACGCACATTGTTACATTACATATAGATACGTATGAATATTGGTTTATGAGCCAAGAAGAACCTCTAAACAGAACAGCAGTAAGCCAATGGTCCACGCATCAAGCATAATCATCCATTATCACACACGAAGGAATCATTTAAAAAAAAAAAAAGAGTTGTCACAACAAATCAACAAAAATATCATCAATACATAAACCACTATTGTTAATCAAAGAATAAGGTGAATAACTAGGTTCTAGGAATCTAGTCCTAGAACTACATGTAATTGTCGTCCTGTATGATCCCCTCAAAATTGACCCACTGGTCATATATATTAAGATAAGATTCAGTCCATTCATCATTCTTGCAATAGAAATCCAAACCAATGCTTAAAAAAACAAATCGGTGACCTGAATCGGTGTCACCCATACCCGTGTCGAATCGGTTCAGAGAATCGGCTGAATCGGCAACCTTTTGTCTTAAAACATTTTTCAAAAACTCACTTTAAATCTCAAAAAATAATGCTCTTTTAGTTTCTAAAAGAATTTAAGAGTGGTGCATTATATACTTTCATTACTCTGTAAAAATAGATAAATACTGAGAGTCTGTTTTCTTGTTTGGATGTCTATATAATTATTAATTATAATATAATATTATAATATTACATCAAAATAATTTAAAAATATTATAAAATACTTTCATATTATAGGATTAAAAATTAATTTTCCATATAAAGTGAATTAATATCACATCAAACATTTATTAATTCTCTTTACTGGTCCAAAATTATCACAACCTAACCAACTATAATATAATACATTGAAATTGAAATTATTGGTTTACATCAATGGTTTAAAAAGCGGATCGGTGACCCGGATCGGGCATCTCAAAAACCCATTTGGATCAGCGAATCGGCGATCCGGAGCGGGAATCAGCTGAATCGATCGGATTAAACCTTAAAAAAAATCCGAAAAAATTATTAAAATTCATTATAAATGTTGTTTTTTAAGAATTCAATAAGAAATGAGGGTACTCCATTAAGAATTTTCATTTCTTTGCATGAATATGCGAATATTGATATGTTCTTTCCCTGCGTGAACTACTATTTACCATTTAATTTACATCACATAAAAGGATAAACATAAAATTATCATGGATTAAGTATATCATCATACATGGACTATAATAAAGCATACAATTCGTAACATACGATTTAAAAATAAAATGACAAACGACGTCGTTCTTCATCTTGGTCACGTTGGTGCCATTGATTGAATTCACGTGACAATTCATTGACTCGTTCTAAAAACGAATCATCCAAATTAGCGGGCACCTGACTATACCCAAATCCCTGAGTGTTAGTGTTTTGTTGTGGTCCTAATCCAAAATCCCCGAAGCTTGTCCATCCTTCATGCTCATCTACACTATCGTGCTCATCCCTACCCTCTTGTCGTTGGGACTTGATATGTGAATAATTTGGCTGGGATTGGATGGCCTCAGAATCATCATATCTCTCATTTTCTTTTAGACCCCCTTCTCACTCTCCCCTATTAGGTGCAATATCACCGACATCTCTGACGAATTGTGGATATGTTGGCGGGCTGCTTCCTCTTTCATGCTGCTCATCACCTTCTTCAAGATCTTCTTCACCGATAGCCTCAAAGAACGCCCTCTTGTGCAACACTAGCTCCTCTTCTTCTACTACCCATTATTCTACTATGTCTGTGATAAATATTGTGTCCAAGTCTATCGGCCCATAGTCTTTAAGCTTCCTTCTTATTTAGCTCTCGAAGGTTTAAGTTGTAATGAACGTAGACTAGTTTATGAAGCTTCTCCAAAGCGAGTCGATTCCTCCTAGTAGTGTGTAAACTTTGAAACGTACTCCAGTTTCGCTCATAGCCATGTCTAGGAGAGCACCTTGATTGCTATCCTCTTTGTGTGAGGTGCATCACTACTATATATCTCCCACCATTTAGCTAGATTAAAATGCAAAAAGCATTGTAAGGGCAAGAACAATTCATAAGATTAAATATATAAATGAACCAAATATTAGTTAGGGGATAACCTGGATCCATCTTAGTTCGAGAATTCCTGACAAGTCTAGTTCCAAAAGATCCTATAGCATCCCTATACATAGCAAACTAAAACAAAATATTTCGTTTTAGTGCATTATTCCTCACAAACATAATAACTCAATCAAGTTCTTACCCAAATATTAAATAATACCTATTGTATTGCTGCTACCTGGTTTCGATGGCTTCTCTCCAACCTGGCAATAATGTATCTGACCCCTTCCATAATCTTGTGGGGATGTTCAGGTGTCAAATAGAAATATTTTGGGTTGAAGTAATAACCTAGAAAATATAGAGATAGAGAAATGACATTTAAAATTTCATAAAAACATAATTTAGAATGAAACATTTTAATGATATAAATATATATTTACCTGCATAATGAATTGGACGTCCAAATTGGTGTTCCACATTCTTTCTATAATCTCGATCACTTTACTAACAAAACTACACTTCTCCCCAATAGCTGATTTGGCCCTCTCGATACCTTCATAAAGGATGTCAATGATAGCTTTCTTGTCAGCATCCACCATTCTTAACACCGTGACCAAAGGGGCAATGGCCTCTACAATACTGGAACATCGAGACCAGAACCTCCTATTTGAGACTATGCCGTCCACTTTTAGCCCGATACTGGACTTCGAGATGCGGTCATTTAACTACTCTTCAATGGTAAACAATCTCTTTAATGCACCTTCAAATTCTCGAATGGAGTCCACAGCCAAGTAATCTGTGGTAAAGTGGGCTATGGCAGGCCTGATTATCTCTTTTTTCTTAAACTGTTCTCTGAACAAAAATAAAATTTTAAAATGGTTATATATAAATCTTGACACCAACCTCGCTTCTTTTAAAGTCTCCTTCACAATTTTGATCTCACTGATCTCCTCTAACATAAGATCGATGTTGTGTGCGGCACACGGGGTCCATACTAGATGCTTCCTCTTATCCATCAACTTGCTACCCGTAGAAACACATGCAGGCGCATTGTCCGTAATAAACTGGACTACATGCTTATCTCCTACCTCCTCCAGTATCTGATCTTATAGTCGTACGAAGAAGTTTACATCCTTCTTCATCCCTGATACGTCTTTGCTAGAAAAAAAAATTGTACCTTTTGGGGAATAGGCCAAGAAGTTTAAAAACTCTTTTTTGCTAACTTTATTCAACCAACCATCACTCATAAGAGTAATCCCTGTTCTTGACCAACTCTGTTTATATTCTTCAATCCACTTTCTAACTTCCTCCACCTCTTCATCCAATATTGGCCCACTGAACTCATATGCCGTCAGGGGTTTTACCCTGGGCTCGACACTCTGGATTGTGTTGACCATAGGTGGAAAATATGGGCTATTGGCTGCATCAAAGGGGATCCTTTTGTCGTAGAACCATTTACCAACATATCTGCCCAACATGTTTCTCGTACTTTTCACCATGCCTTTGAAGGTCATCTGTTCTGACTTAGGCTTTGAGAGAAATGGGTCTATACGACCATGACCTGCAATATTGGCACTCCTAGATAAGCTAGAAACAATTTTTTTAACGTTTGATTCCTCCTGATACATATTGCCACCAACCCCCGATACATACTTGAGTTGGGCCCGCTATACATGCTGGAGCTGGGCCCGCCATACATGTCTGAGCTGGGCCCACCATGCATGCCCATGTCATAACCACCAAGAATTCTAAACCCGTGTTCCTCTGGTATGCTTCCTGTAAACTCATTCTTGTGGCCATCTCCAAGTCATTATTATATTGCTCTTCTAAATCATTCCCACTTGATGGCATATATAAACTAGCTATCTCCTCATCCATCCTCAGCTTTGCAATTTTTTTACCTTTGGTAGCCTTGAGAAATGCCGCCATCTGCTTTCTTACATTATTAGGGACACTATTGCATGCACAAACATCTCCCTTAACCGCTGTCAAGTGTTGCTTGAACCTATGTACCCCACTACTTATCACTCTTTGGCAATAATTACAAATAATTTTGTCTTTTTTGTTGAGATCAAGTCTGACCCTATGTTGTCATGGAGGGTCTTCCGCAGATCTTGTCATGGTTCAACTGTTTTAATAGGTAAAAGGTTAAAAATTAACCTAACAG